TACATATTGTTTGTTGTGATTAAGTGCCATGGAGTCCGTTCTGGCTCACAGCAAGCCTATATAGAGTTTCCAAGGAGCAGCTGGTGGATTTGAATTGCCAACCTTGTGGTTCAAACCAATTTTGCGGTCCACTGCTTATCCTACAGCGCCACATCAAGACGTCTGGTAACTACATTATTCCCTCTTAATAGCTTTTTTTTTTTTGCAAACTGGAATCTCTTTCCCTATTTTCAATCTTGTAGGTTTGTTGTACTTTGGATACTCCTATATCTGGGTTGATTTCTTAGTGATAATTGTCTCAGGTTGTCTGCTATTGTTGGTTCTCTCTCCAATGAACACCCTTTAGTATGTTTTGTAAGGTAGGTCTGTCTGGTTCTTGCAAATTCTTTTAATTTGTTTATTTTGAAATCTTCTAATTTCGCTGTCATTATTTGATGGACGGTTTTGCTGGCTACGTGATTCTTGGTTGACAATTTGTTTCTTGCAGTTTTTTATATGCCATTCTACTATCTTCTTGCCACCCTCATTTCCACTGAGAAATTAGAGCTTAGCTTTATTAGTTCTCCTTTACAGGTAACTTTTTATTTTTCTGTAGCTGCTCTCGGGATTTTTTCCTTGTCTTTGGTTTGAAAAAAATTATATCTTGGTGGTTTTCTTTTGGAGTCTATTCTACATGGAGTTGTTTAACTTCTTGAATGGCTATCTTCTCATCTTTCATGGTGTTAGGAAAGTCTTCTTCCAACAATTCTTGGGCAATTTTCTCTCTCTGTTTTTCAATCTCTTCTCATTGTGGAATTCCAATCACGTGTAAGTTATTCCTCTGATAGTATTTCACATATATCTTAATTTTTTCTTTGGATTTTTAAATTCTTTTTTCTGATTGCTCTTTTAGCTAGTGATTATCCAGAAGTTTATCTTCAATGGCTTTTTTCTTTTTTAATGTTTTATTTTGAATTATGTGGTAGTTTACATGGGAGAACATTAGTTTTAGATTCATTCTATCGTATATCGTTTCATTGCCATGGTTACAATCCCCTTCATGCATCATCACCCAACCAAAGGGTATACACTACAAGCCTGTTCCCTGGTCGTCAGCACACAGCTCCTCTCCCTCTCTGTGTCTAAAGTCCCCAGCTGCTCCATCTCTCCACGTCATCGTCTCTGCTTCCATCTCAGGCATCACTGCTTCTCTGGGTAGGGTCCTGCTCTCTGCTCCTCTCCCTTGATGGTCCCAGAGACCTCCACTCCTAGACTGCAGAGTTAATCACTCCCCTCCATTTGCTACAAAACATCTACCTTTACATTTCCAACCCTCACAGTTAGTCCTGATAACAATTATTCACTATTGTATCACAAAAGACCTATCCACATTTCCTTTCATTAGCCCCACCTAGACAGACTGTATAAAACTCAGTGGAGATTCTATCTTCCTCCATGCCCTCTGGGTCTAGGTTCCCTCTTGAAAGTTTTTAAGCCAGTCACTTCTTGCCTTTTAGCGCCACCCCCTCCACCCCGCCAATTTGGGTAGCTAATGTCCAAGTTGCCCATCCCTGTCTACTCTGTGTATGGAGGGAATGATCCTTGCTGTAAAGATTTGTTCCCTCTTTTGAGCTACTGCATCCATAGGTGTAGGTCAAGTTCATCAAATTGTATCAGATTACTCTTTTTTTTCCTCTTCTTTCTTCTTCTGGTTGAGCAGCCTCTTTCTTAAAATCCTGCAAATGAGAACAAAAGTGCCAGGGACAAGTGCAGTATGGGCCTCCCAAGTAGTGTATGGTGGAACTGACTCGATGGCACTTAACAACAACAACAACAACATAGGTGTAGTAGGGAACGCTGATGGCACAGTGGATAAAGTGTTGGGCTGCTGACTGAAAGGTCGGTGGTTAGAACCAACCAGCCACTCTGCAGGAAAAAAATGAGGCAGCCTGCTTCCTTAAAAGTTAGTCTTGAAAACCCTATGGGTAGTTCTACTCTATCTTAGAGGCTCACTGTCACTAGGAATGGACTTGATGGCAGTGAGGAAAATATGTGCTGGAATTCCAATCCCTGCGGATTGGATCCCATTTGGGAATACAGTTTTGTTATGTTAATGAGGCCGTATCAGGGCATTGTTGTTAGGCACCATTGAGTTGATTCAGATTCACAGAGACCCTACACACAACAGAACAAAACACTGCTTGGTCTCGAGCCATCTTCACAATGGTTTTGCCTGAGATCATTGCTTTTGCCAATCCATTTCATTTGCTGGGCCTCCACTTTTGTTGCTGTGTGCCTTTAAGTTGGTTTGGAATCATAGTGACCCTGGATAGGGTTTCCAAGATTGGCTGGTGGCTTTGAACTGCTGACCTAACAGTTATCAGTCCAGTGCTTATCCTACAGTGCCACACCAAGGCCTGATTTTCTTCTCCAGGGACTGTCCCCCTGATAAAATATCTGATAATATGAAGTCTCACCATCCCAGCTTTTAAGAAGCAGAATAGCTGTATTTCTTCTAAGACAGATTTGTTTGTTCTTCTGGCAGTCCAAAGGAGCTCTGGTAGTGTAGTGGTTACAAGTCGGGTTGCTAACCTCAAGGTTAGCAGTTCAAAACTACCAGCTGTTCCACTGGAGAAAAGATGAGGCTTTTTGCTCCCATAAAGATTTACAACCTCAGAAACCTTGTGCAGAGTCACTATGCGTCAGAACCGACTCCATGGCACACTACCATACCATACCATCTGGCAGTCCATGTCAAGGTATTGTTGTTGTTGTAGTAAAGTGCCTATCTAGGGTTTCCAAGGAACGACTGGTGAATTTGAACCACCGACCTTGTGGTTCAAAGTGGCCCTGCGGTCCAGTGCTTATCCTACAGCACCACACCAGGACTCTATACCAGGGTGTTGTTGTTAAGTGTCTTCTAGTAGGATCAGACTCATAACGACGTTGTATCAGGTTTTAGGATGTGTCTAAAACCTAATCACTTCTGAATTACAAAAACAGCAGATAAGACACAGAAAAATACACCAAGTAGAAAAGATAGATGGAATCCTGGTTGTGGAGCTCTAGGATAGGCACTGGACTGCTCATTGAAAGACTGTTATTTCAAACCCACCAGCCACTGCTAGTAAATCCTATACAGGGTCGCTATGAGTTGAAACCAACTCAACAGCACTTAAGAATAGAAACCACATGAAGATCGCCATGGAACTGAGGGACACCCAAACCTTGGGGGTGTAGACACTATAGAAACTCAAAGCTACAGAAACTCAAGAGACTTCCTGTAGAGCCCGCGGTGTCCTGTTCTCGGAACTCTGTGACAGTGGCTAGCTAACCCTTCACCTTCCAGGGAAGGAGTCTACGCAGGGCCCTCCATTGCTGCACCAGGGGGGCCCAACCTCCAGGTCACTGAGAACTGGTGAGGGGAGAGGGATGCCGGCACACTAACTCTCAGCCAGCCTGGGCTGACCTTTGACCAGGTGAAGCAGGCCTCCAGGGACCACGATGAAGCAAGGGCAAGCTCTGAACGTGAGATGAAGGTGACAAGGCAAGTGGAGTTAGTGCCAGGAGGAATACACAGCCAGCTGCTCCTGGCCTACAGGCCATCAAGGGGTCTAGGAGACGAGGGTTCCCAAGCTAATTGGAAGCTTCCAGCATCTGTATTAAGCCCTAGGTATAAAAGGGGAGCGGTCCCTAAGTGACATGAGAGACAGGTCCCTGTCTGAAACCAGTGATTTGTCCTTAGCTACTAACCTGATCTGTCCTGGTATGGCACTGTAGGATAAGCACTAGACTACAAGTTCGGTTTGGACCGAAGGATCAGTGGTTCAAATCCACCAGCTGCTCCATGTAAACTCTATACAGGGTCACTATGAATCAGGACCAAGTCGATAGCATTGAACAGTAACATTAAAGGTTGGTGGTTCAAACCAATCCACACAGTAGCTCCACGGAAGAAAGTCCTGGCAATCTGCTTTCATAAAGTCTATGGCGTTCTTCTACTCTTGTAACATATGGTGGTGGCTGTGTGCCGAGGAGTCGGTTCCGACTCACAGTGACCCTGTACCGGGTTTCTGAGGCTGTAAATCTTTACGGGAGTAGAACGCCTCATCTTTCTCCCATGGAACAGCTGGTAATCTTGAACTGCTGACCTTGTGGTTCGCTGCCCAATTTGTAACCACTACGCTACCAGAGCTCCTTGTAACATAAGGAGTCACCATAAATAAAAATCAACTGGAAAGCACCTAACAACCACCCTGGAGGCCCAGGGTGGCACTATGCAGAAAGGCTTGGCAATCTGCTTCCTTAAACATTAAAACCCCCAAATCCTCCCAGCGTTTCCAAAGCGGCAAATCTTTATGGATACAGATATCCTCATGTTGCTCCCGCTGGTGGGTTTGAACCACCAAGCTTCCTATTTGTAGAGGGGTGCTTAACAACTTGCACCAAGACTCCTATCTTTAAAGATGACAGCTCAGAACACCCTAGGAAGCAGTTGTACTCAGTTAACACTTGGGATCGCCACCATCTGGAATCCACTCAACTGCAACAGGTTTGGGTTTTTCTTATTTGGGGTTGGAATGGGGGAATTGTCTTTCTTCTTCCACTTTGCAGAATGTTCACTTAACATTGTGTCATTTCACATCTAGCCTTTCCCAGCGACATGCATCTGTGGTGTCAGACAGCGGTATTATTTCTCTTGTTAAGTGTTCTCAAGTTGGTTCCGACTCATAGTGGCCCTATGTAGGATTTCCGAAGAGCAGCTACTGGGTTTACCAGTCCTCTGTTGTTGTGGTGACCTGCAGTCGAGTCGGTCTGACCCATAGCGACCTTGTATAGGGTTTCCGAGGAGCCGCTGGTGAGCTTGAACTGCCAACCTTGCAGTTTAAACGGCTTTGCAGTCTGGCGCATCAACCCACAGCACCACACCAGAACTCCTGGGTACACCAAAATGGGGTAACAAACTCTAGTCTTAAGTATCCAACGGACCCACCGACGGACCCTGTGAAACCGGAAGGTACCGAGTGCGCAGGCGCTGCGCACGGGTGCTGCTAAGGAGTACCGCGGTACGACCATGGGGGAAGGGAGTGCGCCGCGCCGGCAGTGGACCACGTGCGTACCACGTGGCGCTCCTGCCCGACCAGGCTCCGGTGGGGTCCCGGCCCCCCATACCGTGGGCCCAGCATCCCGCAGAGGGTGGCGGATCAGCCTCCTCACCGCCACTCCATGACCGCTGACCCCTGACCTCCGGCTTCATTACCTCTAGGATCGCCCCTCACTAGAGGCCGCGCGGTGTGTTTATAAACAGAGTTCCCGGCGGGGCTGAAACCCTGGATCACTGGATTAACACCTGGGGGAGCGGAGCCTTTTGCGCGTGCGTAGTGCGACAATGCCGCCAGAGTCTTTCTGCACATGCGCGCTCGCAGGCGGCCTCTGGGTGGGGTCGTGAGGTAGCCAGTGGCGCCGCGCTGGACTCAGGCGGCTCACCCTTGCGCCTGCGCTCTGCCCTCTACCTTAGCGCTGTGTGTCCTTGGTCCAGCTAGGGGACCCCACCCATAAAATGGGACCAAGATGGGAGATGGCAAAGGTTAAATATTGGATTTGCCTGGAGGAGACACGCCCAAAGGCCCCCTGACTGGTTCCGAGGCCCCACGGCGCTCCTCCTCGTGGCAGTGTCCACATAGCAGCCAAAGAGAACCTTTCAAAACAAGTCAGACCTCCTTAAAAAGTGAAACAACCATCACAAACCAGAAACACCCTAAGCAAGCCTATTGAATAGAGCTGATTTGAGCAGATGGCAACCCCACGTGTTAGAGTAGAACTGAGGCCCCTACGGTTTTCCTGGCTGTCATCTTTAGGGAAGCAGATTACCAGACCTTTCTTCTGCAGCACCGTTGAGGGCTCCAACAGCCAACGTTTATTTGCTGTTGTCAAGTAGGTTTCAATTCGTAACGACCTGGTACACAACTGAGTGAAACACTGCTGGGTCTTGAACCATGGTCCCATTGTTAGGTTTGAGCCCATTGTTGCAGCTACTATGTTAATCCATGTGTTGAGGGCTTTCCTTTTCGTTTACCCTCTGCTTTACCAAGCATGATGTACTTCTCCAGAGACTGGTCCCTCCTGGCAACATATCCGAAGTCTCGTCACGCTTGCTTTTAAGGAGCATTCTGGTTGTACATATTCCATGATAGATTTGTTCGTTCTTCTGGAAGTCTATGGTACATTAGTTTAGTAGCCAAACACAAAGTGTGGGTACCACCCAAGGACCTGGAATTACCAGGCTACTGCTGTGTGTGGTAGAGTCAGTTCCGATCCTATACAGGGTTTCCAAGTCTGTAAATCTTTATGGCAGCAAAACCCCTCATTTTTCTCCTCGTGTGGAGCAGCTGGTGGATTAGAACTAATGATCTTGGGGTTAGTTGCTCAACGAGTAACCTGCTACACTACCAGAGCAATTCTGGTCTAAAGTATATACCCAAGAAACTTGGAAACGGAGACTCTTAACAGATACGTGTGTACACCAATGTTCATATCAGCACTATTCACAATGTCTCAAAGTTGGAAGCAACCTAAGTGTCCATGAGCAGGTGAATGGACAAGCACAGTGTGCTCTATCAGTACAATGGAATATTATATAGCCACAAGGAAAGATACGTCCTGCCACCTGCTATGGCAGAGGTGAACCGTAAAACATTATGCTGAGTGAAATGTCAGGCCCCAAAGGACAAGCATCTGTCTGATTGCACTAGGTGAAGTATCTAGAATAGACAAGTACATGCAGATGAAAGTCATGCACTTGTCTGAGTCTTACTAGTCATGACCAGGGGCTGAGAGGAGGGGGAAATAAGTTATTATTTAAGGAGAGTTGAGTTTGTCTATGTAACAGAAGAATTGCCATTTTAACCGTTTTTATATGTACAGTTCTGGTGTGGTGCTGTGGGATCAGCACTGTACTGCAAACCACAATGTTGGCAGTTCAAACCACCGCCTGCTCCTCAGAAACCCTATACAGGGTTGCTATGAGTCGGAACCAACTCAAAGGCACTTAACAACAACAACATATGTACAGTTCAGTTGACATTATTATATTCATCATGTTGTGAGAGTCCCAGTGTGGTGCTGTGGGATAAAGCACTGGAAGGCATGGTTGGCGGGTCAAATTCACCAGCTGCTGCTTGGAAACCCTACAAAGGGTCCTTATGAGTCAGAACTGACTCAACGGCAGTTAACAACAATAACAAATGTGTATCTAGCACCGTTATCTTATTTTCAAAACTTTTCTATCACCCCAATCAAAAGCCCTGCATCCCTTATACATACATTAATTTTCCATTCCTTTCTACCACAGGCCCTGATAACTGCTCACCAATTTTGTCCTTATCTGTTTTAGATGGTCATGGAGTCCTGGTGTGATGCTGTATGACACGGATCATCTATCCATGTTTTCACAGGTCATCTACACTGTAGCATGGATCAAGACTCCCTTTGTCTTTATGGCTAGTTGTGTGGTGCTATGGGATCAGCACTGGACTGCAAACCACAAGTTTGGCAGTTCAAACCCACCAGCTGTTCCTTGGAAAGCCTATACAGAGTTGCTGTGAGTCGGAACTCACTGGACAACACTTAATAACAACAGTATTCCATTGGAGTCCTGGTGTTGTGCTGTAGGATAAGCACTGGACTTCTAGCCACAAGGTTGGTGGTTCTTAGGACTAACTTGAAGGCACTTAACAACAGCAACAATATCCCACTGAAGAAGGACGATCATAGATGAATCGATGCATTTGAATTTTGGTATGAGTGAAAAACACAGACAGTACCACAGACAGCCAGCAAAACAAACACATCTGTCTTGGAAGAAATGCATCCAGAATGGTCCATTGAAAGATGGATGATGGGACTTCATGTCACATATTTTGGACATGTTATCGAGAGGGACCAGTCTCTGAAAAAGGCCATCATGCTTAGTAAAGTGGAGGATCAGTGAAAACGAGGAAGACTCCCCAATGAGATGGATGGACACAGCGAAAGCAACATATTAACAATTGTGAAGATGGAGCAGGACTGGGCAGTGTTTCCTTCTATTGTACAGAGGGTTGTTATGACTTGGAAGTGCCTCACGGGCACCTAACAACAACAACAACAATAATCCATCGTCTCTATCTCGTGGAAGTTGTAAATAGTGCTGCTCTGAACACTGGTGTACACATACTACGTCGTGTCCCTGCTTTTAAGTTGTCACTTAAGCACAGCTCTTTGATTGCATTTCTTTTATAGTGTCTCACAGATACTGTGATTATTACAAATTGGAGGCTTGAGGCAATCCTGCGACGAGCGGAGTGTGCTCACTTCGTGCCTCTGTGGCCCATACTGGTTATTCTCACAATCTTACTGCCTTTTAATTAGGCTTTTATAGCACACTTCGTAGACAACTGTCTAGTGTTAACATCGCATTTGTCTGCACTGGGGAGCCAGGACATTCGTGTGACTCACTTGGTTGCAATCTTCACTTCGTTGCAGTTGTCTAGAATGGAACCTGCAGTATCTCAGCGGTCTACCTGTATAATTAAGTATATAATTTAACATCATTTATTGAATTCTATTGGCTGGAACACTCAGAAAGCTGTCTGATATCTAGGGGAGGGGACTTAGATCCCACCTCTCCATGGAAGGAGGGTTGCAGTTTTGTGTTTGGAGAGTCCTGTTTTAAATCACATCAGTAGGTGAAGATGAAGGGAACAATGCTCAGGGACCCACCAGGTGTTTCTCCCAATGTTGTACAGCAGAGCAAGGCATGGAGGACTCAGCACTTTCAATGTGACTGGGCCCAGGCTTTCTCTCTCATCTGTCTCTCCCAGGCTCTGAGCTGGCCACACAGGGATGGAAGCCTGGAGGCATAGGGTTTTTACAACCTTCTAGTTTTATTGCCAAGGAGCTCTGGTAGTGTAGTGGTTACGAATCGGGCTGCGAACCTTAAGGTCAGCGGTTCGAAACTACCAGCCGCTCCGCGGGAGAAAGATGAGGCTTTCTACTCCCGTAAAGATTTACACCCTTGGAAACCCTGTACAGGGTCGCTATGGGTCGGACCCGACTCAATGGCACTTAACAACAACAACAAGTTTTATTGCCATAACCCTGAGGCTGTTTCAAATGATCCTGTATGCGTTGCCTGTTTGTTACCTGTCTCTCTCACTCCCAAGGAACTTGTCTAGTTCCTTTTTTGTATCTGTAGCATCCAGCTCATGAGAAAAGATTGAAGTTGTCAAGGACTCCATTTTGCTTGAATTCACAATCAACACTCATGGAAGCAGCAGTCAAGAAATCAAACGACATATTGCATTAGGCAGATCTGCTGCACAAGACCTCTTTAAAGTTTTCAAGAGCAAAGATATCAGTTTGAGGATTAAAGTGCGCCTGACCCAAACTATGGTATTTTCAATAGCCTCATATGCATGTAAAAGTTGTACAATGAACAAGGAAGACTGTAGAAGAATTGATGCATTTGAATTATGATGTTGGAGAATAATATTGAAGGCAGCATGGACTGCCAGAAGAACAAACAAATCTGTGTTGGAAGAAGGACAGCCAGAACGCTCCTTAGAGGCCAGAATGGCCAGAATTTGTCTTTCTTACTTTGGCTATATTGTCAGGCGGGACTAGTTCTTGGAGACGGGCATCATGCTTGGTAGAGTGGAGGGTCAGCGAAAAGGAGGACTATCCCAATGAGGTGGATTGGCAAGTGGCAGCAGCGATGGGCTCAAGCATAGCAACAATTGTGAGGCTGGTGCAGGACTGGGCAGTGTTTGGTTCTGTTGTACATAAGGTCACTATGAGTTGGTACTGTCTTGATGGCACCTAACAACAACAACAACAGCTTGGGTCTCGGTCCTCCAGAAGAGCTGACTAAACGCTTGTTGAATGGATACAGAAACACTTCATTTTAATGCGCTATGCTTTCTTGTGCTCTACAGAGACTGCAGTTTCTACAACTTGGACATCTGTCACAAGCCTGCGTCCAGCAAGTCTATGGGCACCATCTTCCCAGCAGCCTGTGCTCATTCCATGTCTCTGTGCCCCTTGTTGGTTGCAGTAGTTCAAATGTTTTCATCATGTGATCACACACTTCATAGACTGTCACTGTGTTGATTCCAGCTCATAATGACTCTA